CTTAAAGTTTAATGTATGCCAGAAAGAAGAGAACAGAAAAAGAAACACATATTTTAATATTCATGAGACACACTTTTATTCACAGAACTCTATATTTCTGTAAATAATATTACGATTTATCATCAATTCAACATAAATAACAATTATCAGAAAATTATTCTTTCAGACTAAGGTGACCGCGAAAAAAGTATACAAACTAATTCATTGTTGAATTCAAGAGTTATTCCTCTTAGAAACCAAAAGACTTTCACAAGTTACAATGTTGAAATCTTATCATTACATCATTCTGAAGTTCCAGATCGGCTTAGTCATATTTCATATATCAGTTCTAGGTATTCTGAAAATCCGATGATATATTTTCAACGTCCGTTATTTCGTTGATTCATTTGTGGGTACAGACAAAAAAGAATTTTACCTCTTAGTAACTTTCAGCGTGTGGCATTCTACTGTACGTATGTTTTAGTCCGCATATTTACAGTTTATGATAGTTTCGTATGAAATTTTATTTTCACCTTCACGCAAAACTTCAGCATGATAATATTTCAGAGCCCAGCCACCTCAACGTGAAGATGACGATGACCAGGAAGAAGATACCATAATGATTCAACCAGTCATGATCCCAATCCCGCAAACCCCCTTCCGCACCCACATGCCACAACAGATTTCCCCAATGATTCAACGAGTGCCAGAACAAATGCAAATGCGACCACCAGTACGCCCTCCCATGTACCAGATGGAAAACATTAGGCCACCAATGCCACATGTAATTCAACAACAGTTACCACCCATGTTCCAACAGCAACAGCAAGTTCCACCTATGTTGCAACAGCAAGTCCCTCTCATGATTCAGCAGCAACTACCCAGACGAGAACAACAGTATCCACGAGTACATATGCAAATTCAGGTGCAACCACAGATGCCCATCCAATCGCAAGGACCGCAGATTCAACAGAATGAATTACCCCCAAACCCCATTTTGCATCACATTGTGCAACAAATCATCGCTCAGAAAATCATTGAGAGTCAGAAATTGCGAGAAGAGCAGATGAAGGAAGAGCAGGCACAGGTACAACAACAGCAACAAGAAGAGCGACAACCGCAGGTTGAGATGGAAGAGGAACGTCCACATCGGTTCGAAGTTACTCCTCAGGTCCCTCAAGTACCTTCACAAAATCTAATAGGTCAGAGNTATACTATCACAGAAGTTCATGTGTGAGAGACAATTCAATCACATAGTTCTTTCTTTGATTTAGACATTTTCTCTGAGAGTAGATCATTTTCAAATTAGCATAGCCAATTCTCAACTTTGACGTGACGTGCTCCGTGAATATGAGTTTCTTGCCAATTATCAAACCCAGATTTCTAGCGGATGTTCTGAAAGAAATAATCTCATTAGCCATACTAATGTTCAAAGATGCCTGCAATTCTTCTCTGATTCTTTCATTGCAAAAAAGTATAGCCATGGATTTTTTTTGGATTGATTTTCAATAAATGTTCATTTGATATTCCAAAAAGTTTTTGCAGATCATTGTTGAGGGAATATTCTGCTGCTGCAGTATCAATGGCTTAATACACTCTGTAATCTATTCGTTAAGAATGAATTTATCAAATCGCAAGCTCGAATAGAAAATCCGATATGATTTAGAATCGCCAATAGAATTCTATGATTCAACATATCGAACGCTATTGTGTAGTCTGGGAGTACCAGGATCGTTGCCTTACTTTCGTCCATTCCCCTCGGAACATTATCCGACACATCAGTCAATGCAGAACTACAGCTGTAACCTGGCCGAAAACCTGATTGTTTGGCTGGTAGATAATTTATCGAGTTGATAAATGGTTCTATTTGAGACTCAATGGCTCTTTTGAGTACTTTTGAAAGAACAGGTTGAATCGAAACTGACCGTAAGTGTGAAAACTCTGATGGTGAACTTATTTTTGGCAGAGGATTGATGAGAGCTTCCTTCCATAACTGTGGAAAATAGAAGTTTTGTATACAAGAGTTAATTATATAGGTCATATGTGGCACAACAAAGGGGCAGCATAGTATTATTAGAGTAATATTAAGGTTATCACACCCAAATGCCTCAGACTTAATACTGTTTGAAAAACAAATTCTTCATTCACCTCCACGAATGTAAAAAAATGTAATAATGTAATAAACTAGTGCTTGGCTGGCGAGAGTTTTTACACGAGTCAACAAAGTACAGAATGAGTGCCTCAACCTCCTGTAGTTCTTCTGGTAAACAAGCATTGTTTTTCTTTTTAATGCTCAGTTTTTTCACTTCTCTTGCAATTTTTGTTTTTGATTGAGTTTTTTTGAATTATAGTTCAGATACGCTTTTTTTCGGCCTTACAGCTGCAGTGACAAAATTTCTCAGTTTTGTAATGTTCCCTATGTTCCACCATTTTTGTTAACCGATAACGATTGAGTGATTCATACCTTAGTTTTTGCATTCTGCGAATATTATCTGTAATCCATGGACTATAAGGTTTTCTTTTCTTTTCTACATGTCGAACAGGTGCATGATGGTTGTAAAGTTGCAGTAAGTTATCTGTTAAAAAAATGTTTTCAATCGAGAACAAAATGTCCCATGCTATGTTTTCGAGATCCCTTTGAAAACAGAGCATGTCTATGTTATGTAGAGACCTAAAACTGAACGAATAATCGTGACCGGCTTTCAATTCTACATTCATGGAACAGTAAACAAGCATGTGATCAGATATATCAAGATCCCAAACGCCAGAATCAGAAACATCTTGAGAATTTGTGAAAATCAAATCAATCAATGTTGAAGAATTTCCAGCTATTCTAGTGGGTTGGTTGATAATTCGTAATAAACCAAATGTGTCTGCTATATTCTTAAGAGTAACCACATAGTTATCATCATTCATGATCATATTGACATTGAACTCACCGAATATCATAATATCATCGGTTTCAGTGAATAATTCAGTTAAAGTATCTTCGAAGTGATCTATAAATTGTGCAAAGTTCGAATTGGAAGAGCGATATATATTTCCTATGATAATTTTTCTGTTTGGAATTGTAATTTCAATCCATACCTGTTCCAAAAAGTCTTTGGAATTCTGATTNCTTTTGGTGTGAATCTACTGTTAATTATTTTTCATCCAATAACACTGAGTCCCTGTGAAAATATAATTTTTTTTCGAATTATAAATTTTTTTTTATCATTTTTCTTATGAGGGGAGTCTGAGATGTGACCAGCAAGGATTTGATGGAACTTGTGTTTGATGATATAGTCTCTCACTTTATAAAATTTTCTCTCAAGTGGGAGACCTAAATCTACTCGAAATAATCACTTCCGATTGTAACTGGTGAATTATTCTGAAATCACGCTGTACATCATAATAAATTGTGATCAAACAAAAAGAAAACAGGGGATAGAGGACCTGCCGAAAACACAAGAACCCTTCGACTGAAGGGAGACATTCTTGCCCTATACTATTGACTCCAACAATTCTACCCCCAAGGTGGAAATCGAGGTTGACGATTGATATACACTCCAAAATTTTCAAATGGCAAGGGCTCGAGTAAGAAGTCCTACGAATTATCTTTCAGTCTTTGAATTTTCAAAATCTGTGTAATAGTTTTGTGAAAAATAACTTTCAACAGGTTTATACTCTAGCGTCATTAAATGTTCAAACTATTTCCATATAATAAATATTTCGTTCAATTTTTTTTGCAAATTCCGAAGCATTTTCGGATTTATTCAACCGTACTTTCCGTCAAATATCATTCAGTGCTGTGGAAAATGTAATAGAGCACCATTCTATAGGAACTGCAAATGACCATCATAATATTGATTTACAACAATAGACAGTATGGAATAACACTCACTGTCACAGATTTCTCGCCAATTGGTAGGTACATGGAAATGTAAGTCTTTCGGATATATGAGAAAGTTACATATGAAATAATAATTACTTTATCGATGCAGATGTTCATCATTTCAAATATTCCATCAATAGAGTAGAAAGGAAGCACCTGAAGAAATATGAATCAGGAGCAATTCAAAAATTCAACGAGAATTTCTAGAGCTGCAAATGACATATTACAATGTTTTGATTGTCAAACTTGCTTAGGGGTGGAAGAGGCGGAATAAAAAACACCGGAAAAGATTGACCTTCTTCAATTGAAATTCGATGTGCTGTTGCATTTTTTCAGAATTTTCACGCAGTCACTGATAACGATTATTTTTAATTTTCGTGTAACTACACTGCATACGAAAGAGTATTGATATAAAATTTCACTTACAGGGATAGAGTTGGACCCCAGAGTTTCTCGTATACAGGGTAATTCAAATTCGAATCCCACCATTGGGATTTCCCAAACTATAGGAGATACGTCAAAGTTTAAATTGGGGCAAAGTTGCATTTTTTTGTGCTTAACATAGGAATTTTGGCTGCATTTATCTACAAAAGTACCAAAAATAATTATACCGCTTCGAATATGGAAAAACAATTATTTTAGTTCATTCTTGGTTTTTGAAACCCACCGTACTAAGCTAATGCAACTCTTTCCCAATTTAAGCTTCGACATATCTCCTGTAGTTTAGGAAATCCCAATGGTGGGGGTCGAATTTGAATTATCCTGTAGACACTAGTCCATATTTTGAGGAGACATTTTATTTATGTTTTTTCCTATACT